CGCGCGCTCTTGCCTCTCCTCTCTCTCTCTCTCTCTCTCTCTCTCTCTCTCTCTATATATATATATATATATATATATATATATATATATATATATATATATATATATATATGTGTGTGTGTGTGTGTGTGTGTGTGTGTCCTTTGCCATACAACGCATGAAACATATATTGTTTGCACGAATTAAAACGCATGCTGTGTGGCGACCGTGTCGCTTTTGGACTTCAATGAATCGTATGCTTGAATCGAAGGTAGTCGCATATTTAGACAAGCTGTCCCTTAGTTTGGCAACAGTCCCTCTATCATAAAGATAGAGAGACGGTGGTTTGGCATTTAGTTACATAGTTCGGCATATAGTCACATAGTTCGGTATATAGTCACATAGTTCGGTGTATCAGTACTGTCACTAGTGTGGAATATTGTGTAAACTTTCCCTCATCCTTACCGTACTTTACCACGTCTTGTAACAGTTGAAATTGTTTCCCGGGCAACGACAGATCAGACCGATCAACAAATTCGGCTTCTATCTTTACGCCTAAAATATATATTATAAAATAAATACTCGTATACTTTATTTTGCTAACAATTAAACTCTCTCTGCCCGATGATTGCATTAATGATGTACCAAATAAGTCAACACAGGGTGGTATATCAGGTCACATGACCTATGATGTCACGAACAGAACTAAATGATGTTTTTTGTTCAAACAATATCTTCTAGCTGTCAAGGTGATAGTGCATGTAAATAGCGTAACAAATTCTTATGTTTTGCCTTGTATGCCATTTGGCTCAGCAGCATATGTGTTGTATTGTGACCTCGGCTAATATGTATAATTTTGCATATCATAAGCATATTGATGATGACGTCATAGGGGTTATCTACATTTTCGTAACACTCCATATATAATTGCAGACGTTCGGTCTGGAGATGTTGAATTGTTCGAGTTACGGACTTCGAGTTACACACACAAAATCTATCATGTTGCCCGAAACTCGAAGTTCGGTTAACTGTTAATTAAACTTTGAGTTACTAAATGTGGATGTTGCTCGTAACTCAAAGTTTTGTTAACTGTTAATTGAACATCGAGTTACAATTTGGTTGTGGTTTTGTAAAAAGTGGGCGTGGTCATTTTTGTAACTCGATGTTGGTAAAAACGGGGACGACATCAAAAGATCGATGTCGGATAAAAAAACTTATTTGCTTTAGTTTGGGGGTGGGGGTGACCTCAAAAAGTTTCCATCCTACAAAAACGATTTTATTTTTTAATGAAGTCAAAAAAATCTTAAATGTTTCTATCCAATCATGGAAAAAATTAACAGAAAATGAAAAAAAAAAACATTCAAGACGAGAAAATGGTTTGGTCCGAGTGTAAATATGTGCAAAATGAGGTAAATTTTAGGGCATGGACCTAGAGCATGCGCAGAACCCAGAAAAGTCGTTTTACACCCACCCGACAATCAACTGCTTTGCCATACTGTTATCAATTTGTATTTAATGGTGAATGTAATCTGACGCCATGATCAATATTTATCAACTAAGTTTCTGTGAGGGTGGAGGTGGGGGAAACTGAAGGAATTGTTTTTTATCCTACATTGAAATTTTGATGTTGTCCTTAACTCGACGTCTGTAACTCGTACAATTCAGCATCTCTCGGTCCGCGCCTTTTACTCAATACGCGAGATCTCGGAGTGAGCGGAAATCACCTCTTCAAAAGTAATATTGCATTTAAAGAAAGGGTGGACCTGAATTTTGGCGGGAAATCTTTAAAATTACGATTGAAATTGATACCTGTTCCGAGACATACTACAATTAGATCTGCTCCGGTTACGGCAGCTTTGACCATCTCGGAGAAATAGGTAGTGCATGGAGCGGTCAGACAACCCGGTGTACATCGTGTGTCGCGTGCCGCGTTGCTGAGACCTTTACATGGCGTCACAACGAATTCTTTGTCGGGATTGGGAGAATAATCACCAAACAGGTATGAAGGGTTGTCAGCAAATGGACCAATCACCTACAACACAGACCATTTGGATGTTCCATTATTTCATCTAGGTGGGTTAGGCTATTTTTTTTAAATGTGTGCAATTGTTTTTCCATGCTATTTCGCAGTAATTTTATTTTTCCTAAATTATATCGCGTCCTTTGTTTGAAATTCAAAACTACCCTACCAACCACAGAAAACATCCTATCCCATTGAAATAATCGTTTACGTAACTCTGTACCTTCTGATGTGACCAACCGCGTAGATTGGAAAGTGGCGCAATTTTGGCGAACATTTCACAAACGTTTACGAATGTAATGTGTTTTTGATTTCTCGAGAAATTGTTCTACGAAATAAATCTTCTTTATTTGATCGTGAAATTATATAGGATATTATGAAGCTATCGTTCGCATGTCTACGAGTTCTCCGACACGTAAAACAGGAACTCACCGCTAATTTATTCACCAACGTATCCAGTGGTAGTACACGGCCCTCCCGCTTCAACAGAACGAAGCT